AAAGGAGTTAAAGGATTAAACCCATACACAGCCTCAAAAGGAGAAATATTGGTAGTTTTGTGAACTACCCTATTGTAGGCAAATTCAATGTGAGGCAAAAACTCATCCCAAGATTTGTGATTACCCTTTAGGACTGCCCTAAGCATAGTTGACAGAGATCTATTCACTACCTCAGTTTGGCCATTTGTTTGAGGATGACAAGTAGTTGAAAAGAGGAGTTTAGTTCCTAGTCTTGACCACAAGACATGCCAAAAGTGGCTTAGGAACTTTGTATCTCTATCTGAGACTATAGTCCTAGGAAGCCCATGAAGTTTAACCACTTCTCTAAAGAAAAGTTTTGCTACAAGTGAACGATGGATTTTAGAAGAAAATTTTCGATGGGAAGAAATTAAGATTAAGCTTATCTTAGTTGTTGAAACATATCCAAATCATACAGTATCCGAATCTCATGACAATATATTTAATAAAGAAAAAAATTGTTTTATTTGTCCTGTTCTTGACCTACTACTTGGAAAGTTAACGATCATCGCTGGATTCCATCGTTTCAAAATGGATAAGTTAACTATTTAATTGATGCAAAGAAATTGGAACTACAACCAGAAGGTCCAAATATACCTTTTTTCTCAATGGTGGGTCATAATGGTAATTGGGAGGGATCTACATGGCTGTGGCAGGTTAAATGGAGAAGAGAACCTTTTGTCCATGAAGAAGGAAGTGTGAATACATTAATAGAAATGCTCCAGGAAATTCAAATTTTCTCTTCTAAACAAGATCAATGGAGATGGATTTGTGATAAAGATGGTGTATTCTCAGTGAAAAGTGCGTACTCTTGGCTGCAACACTCGATGGGTGGAGAACTTTCATATTCTTCAGATTTTATTCTAGTCACAAAAAGTCTTTGGAAATGCAAGGCTCCGATCAAGTGCTTGGTGTTCTGTTGGCAGGTATTCATGAATGCATTCCCTTGCAAATCATTGTTACAAGTTCGTGGTGTGGAGGTGGAAAATAACCTTTGCTCTCTTTGCTCTTTATTTATAGAAGACCCTATTCATCTCTTTCTAATGTGCCCAATGGCTTTTAATATTTGGTTATCTGTAGCCAATTGGTTGGAGGTTGAGGTGGTCCTTCCAAATTCCCTAACTTCTCTCTATCTATATTGGACGAATCTTGGTATTTATAAAAAATCCAAGCAGTGTTTTAAAGTGGTCTGGGTGTCTGTAATTTGGTCACTATGGCTTCATCGGAATGGTATAATTTTCCAGCAAGGTGTAATGGATTGCAAGGAAGTGTTGGACAATATTAAAATGCGGTCATGGAAGTGGATTAAAAGTTCTGTCCCTGGTTGTTCTTTTAGTTACTCTAATTGGTATTTTAGCCCACGTTTGTGTATTTCGTAATTTTTATTAGGTTTTGAAATCTTCTGTAATGGGTTGGAGTACCCCTTGTACTCCTTTTAATTAATTTCTTTTGCTTATAAAAAAAAAAAAAAACATTAAACCGATAAACTAAAAATCACAATCCACAAAAAGTTAAACAAGAAAGTGGTTTATATTTTTGAAACATGGAAGATAATTTATAATATGAGTGATCTTAAGATCTAATATATATAATGGCATAGTTAATTATTATATGTAGCACCTGCAAATACTAATAGCCAGGATAAGCCATTTTCATGGCTTCTATTGGCCCACCACTAACACTAGGAATTGTAGTACAACCATATAAAATTAAATACACCTAAATTACACGGATCCAACTCCAAGCACCAAACACCAATCACCACCACTTTTAATTGCCTTCTGATATTTTTCTATTAATTGGTTGTAACCTCACAGTCTCCCTTTATCACACATGAAAATAAATATATAAAAAACTCGATCACAATCTTCTGACAAATTTCACTATTTAAAATTAGGTTGATAGCCAAATTTATTCTATTCAATAATTTCTTACGAACATTGAGTTTTTAAAACTCCAGTATTTGAGTTTTTAAAACTCCAGTATAGAATAAAAACTTCTCATTGGGTTGATCAATTGTACAAAATTTTATATAATTTGGCAAAAATTTGGTGTCTCATCAAGTAACTTCATTTAAACATGTAATATGCAATTTAAAAAAAAATGCAAATAAACGTTTATTTCAAGAGTATATATTATTACACGTGTTTAATTTATCTAAATTTTAGTATGTCTGATGATCGACAAGATAAATATGAACTAATTTAACAGTTAAATTTATTAAATATGTATTATCTAATAAATTATTAAGTGGTGTAACTAACGAGGCTCTTTAATTTTATTTTATTTTCTTTTCTCCCTATGCAAGTTTCTTCTACCCTAATTTACTTCATTTTGGGCCGAATGTTTATTAAGAGTCTTTAAAACAATTTAAAGATTTTTAGTAATAAAAGTTTTGGATAATGACTGCATGTTGTGTGTGTGTGTGTTTTTTTTAATACTTGAGAGAGACAACTTTAACTAACACAAATTTTTAGAGGTTAAAATTATAAATAACACTCTCCTTATTTTTACTGAGAATTTTTTTAGTGGTATTATACTTTTTTAGAAAAATCTCAAATAACCACGAGATTATTTTATAGCAGAATCACTTTTTATAACCAATATTAATCGACCCTTAATCTTTATTATAAGATGTTTTTTTTTTTAAAGATCGTCTGTTTTCCATGACAAAAGTCATCGGCAAAAGTCACAGTAGTCACCAGAGTAACTGAGGTTGCTAATTAAAGATAATGGGAAGAAATCTCTGATTATCATGAGCTGAAATTTAATTATGTATTATATAGACTTCTTTAAAAGTGTTTCTATATATGTCGATTATTTATTTAACCAATATATAATGTAATTTCTACATTGGTTATTAAATTAATAACTTACATAAAAAAGATAATTATATTTTCACTATATATATCACTTTTTATATTGAGTGAATATCACTTGACATAAAAATTATCATAAAATATATATTGTTCCCAGTGTATCTTGATGCAAAATAATTTTGAGAATATAATGCAAAAAAATTATGGATAATATTTTTTTATCGATAAATAAAAATTAGAACGAGAATAATGAAAATTGAATTAAAGTACTCATGCATCACTAAGTCGATCAGCGATTGATAATCGATAGTCTGATACAAAGACAACGCGTGTTTGTTTAACTACACCTATTGATGCATAAACAGTGTTTATTAAACTCACAGTCTAGTATTTAATAAAAAATAATATCTGATGTAGAAAACGAAGGATAAATTAAGTGGAGGCTTTCAAATAATCTTCAATTTAACTTGGTACATACTTTGGACAGCTGTATTGTTTATTTATATTATATCCTAATGTAAAAGCCAAAATCAAATCTCAAAAGTTGTGGTCAATGTCATGATACATATATCCAATTTGCTTAGCGTGCGAATTTTGAACATATATAATAATGTCTATCCGAATCACTAGGCACTATATATCCCCTTTTTTCTGGAAATTTTTTATTTACTATTCTATGTGATTTCATCTTAAACAGAAGATGTTCCAACGATATTAGGCGCGAATCCAAAACGTATCTCAACTGTAAAGTACACACCACTCAATTAATCTCATAAACTAGATATATAAAATTTAATTTACTAAGTACATGTAGAATCTTAAATTATGTACAGTGAAATTAAAATGAGACGATGAGTGTTGGGAATCCCCACTAAGAAAGCATTATATATATGGAGAGAATTAGCATAATAATATGTGGAAAAGAGAAAAACTGAAAAGGCATAATGGGTTCCCTCCCGCAGGCGCACGTAGTAGAGGACTGCATGGGCATCCTCCAACTCTATAGCGACGGTTCCATTCACCGTTCCAACCAAATAGAATTCAAAGTTTCAGCCACCAAAGACAACACCGTAACCTTCAAGGAATACCTATTCCACAAAAGATTCAACCTTTCACTGCGCTTCTACAAGCCCCAAAACCAAACCCAAACCCAAACCCAAAAGCTCCCCCTCCTCATCTTCCTCCACGGTGGAGGCTTCTGCTTCGGTTCGCGCACGTGGCCCCATATTCACAACTGTTGCATGCGCCTCGCCTCGGGGCTCCGCGCCGCGGTCCTCTCGCCGGACTACCGCCTGGCGCCCGAGCATCGCCTTCCCGCGGCGCTGGACGACGCCCTGGAGGCGGTCAGGTGGCTCCAGAGGCAGGGGCTGAGCCACGGTGGGGACGCCTGCTTCAGTGCCAACGTTGACTTTGACCGCGTCTTCATCGTGGGTGACTCCTCTGGCGGGAACATTGCGCACCACCTCGCGGTCCGCTTCGGTTCCGGTTCGATTCAGATGGACCCGGTTCGTGTACGAGGTTACGTGCTGTTCGCGCCGTTTTTCGGCGGGGAGGTTCGGACCAAGTCAGAGGAAGGTCCACCAGAGCACATGTTGAACCTTGAGTTATTGGACAAGTGAGTCACCCTCAATTTCACTGCTGTCTTTTTTTATTTTTATTCAATTAACTCTTTCTTTAACATACCAAATCTTATAACTTATGTTAAGGGGATTACTCCTAATATTTCTATTCGATGGATTATTTGAGAACTTTGTGTAGGGTGTCTTTTTTCTCGGCCCTTTCGATCTTAGCTATGTTTTATTTCCAAATGGACCACTTTAATTAGAGGACTAGCTAGCTTAGCATCACTATCACTGCTTCATTGCAAGTGGAATGTAAGTAATTAAATGAACAAATGCTACGAAGTGCTGTGGTGCCTATGAATGGACCCACTCAAATCACTACACTACACTTGTTTTTGTTTTCGCCTTATATGTGGGAAAGGTACATGCGACGAATAAGACACATCTCTATAACAACAATTTTTTTTTTAATTATAATATTAATACTACATATTTATTATGTAATTATTTTTTGTTGAGCATCACGAACACATATAAAATATGTGTATTTTTTTCTCTCAATATAATTTATTTTATATCAAAAGTTAGAATTTAAATTTTAAATAATTTAATTAAAAATTATTATCACTTTTGTGAATTAATATTGTATATTATTTAACTACACTAATCTTGATTCTTAATTAATTAAATGTTACTGTACTCTTTTCAAATTATAATATTTTTTTTCATCAATTTCTTAATAGTGCTAATACTGATTTCATCGTTCATCGAAGCAATTACAACTTTTACAATAAAAATATTTCAGAATAATAGAGATAAGAATGAGTTTAATTTATACATACATATAGTCATATATATATATATATATATATATATATATATATATA